TAACGCGGTAATTGTAGTGCAGCTTTGGTGTGTCGTATCCACAGCGAGATGGAAAATGCTCAAAGGATCAAGAAGAGTGAATTATTCTCTTCAATATTAAGTGAAATTCAATGTTTGAAATATGAAATAAAATTCAATAATTTGAGACAGTGAAGCGTCGGAATTCCCTCAATTGGATTGGATCATTCACATCAATTATTCCATTTTTATAGTACAATTAGAAGATTTCATCCTGGCACTCTAATAGGAAGATATATCGTTTAAACCCAATTTAATTCTAACGTGATCCTAAAGGTTAATCTTCCTATTGCAATGTTTGCACTAGATTCAAAATCATATACTAAAGCAGAAAGTAGAGGTGTCAATTTGGGTGGTCCGGGCGGGTCAGCCCGTCAACATATGAGCCCCGGTAACGGTCCGCGTGAAAAAAGACCCTCCCGCTACGGGTTTCCGGCCGGTTCCGGGTCGGCCCACAAATTTTGAACTGCAATCCAGGCCCGCCCGCTGACCCATCCAGATCAAGCCCATGCGGGTCACGGGTCGCAATTTGTTTCGATCTGGCCCGTATTATTGTATAAATATAAAAATATAGAATTTTTCATATTTATAGCAAAAAAAAAAAAATTTGTTAAATAATGTAAACTAAGAATTGAACAAAATGATAAATTCATATTTATACCAAAAAATGTTTATATAGAATTCAAATTTAAGGTGACATAAATTATATATAACTTTGCAAAGCTAAATTTAACTTAAAAAACTAACAATTAAATGTATTTCTANGTATAAGTACATTTCAACTAGGTTGAAACCTACTTTTATAATTTACAGTTTAAGTACATCCCAACTATGTAGACTCTCTCCCCTTTTATTTTCAATTTTTTTTAAAAAAAAATTTTCACGGGCCAGCGGGTTAACCGCGCCCCGTGAAGGTGCAAATCGCGAAACCCGCGAGTCACACCTCCTTGATCCGTGAACCACCCGCTCGAGTCACGGGTCGATCCGGGCCGATTTTCACGGATCTGGTCGGCCCGTCCGTCTTGACACCTCTAGCAGAAAGCACTAGAGAATCACATCAATAAACTTAAATAATTGAGATTAAAACCTAAGTAATTATTTCAATTAATCCATAGAGAGAGAACATGACTAATTCTATGACCAATTTAATAAATATTAAGCCAATCTCAAAATTAATTCATGATGAGGAAAATAAACCATTAGATCAATTTAATTTTAATTGTAACTCTAAAATCTAGTTTCCCTATAACACAATTACGCATACATGTATTGGAATAAGATCAGAAAAGCGACTTTATACATCTAGCATAAAGTAGTAAACAATCCACCATTAACATTCATGAGATTATAATTCAACAAATATTTCAACTTGTCGATAGAAAAAACCTGACTAAATCTATGGTTAATTTAATAAAAGCTAAACTAATCTCATTACAAATTCATGGAAAGAAACTATAAATTATAGAGTTGTTCAACAAGAAAATACCAAAATATGTGAGTAATAGATACGAAATCACCAATTCCGAAAGAGTTCTTCCCTAACTTCACCAAGGTTTTAGTTCTTCATAAGTTTCTTGAGCAGAAATAGATGGAAAGAATGATGAATAATGAAGAATGGGGCGTTCTGGGGTATTTTGGGGTTGAAAAATGGTGTCAAAATAAGTTACCATAAGTGCTTGAGTCCTAGAAGGAAACTTGAAAATTCGACTGTGAAAAATGCATGTGCGCTCGCATGTGGCATATTTCCTTGCGCGCACGCTGTTCATTGGTTTTAGGTTTGGTAAGTAAAATCCATGCCAGTGCGCACGCGAGCAGGTTTGTCTCTAAACAGCGTTTGGTATTTTAGTCATAACTTTTTCCATGGGTATCCGATTGACCTGATTCAAAATGTGTTGGAAAGATAGCTCAAAAGGCTACCTTTCTTCAGATAGATCCCCTAAAAATGCTCTAAACTAATAGGAACTGGCCAATCCATACATGAAATACATAAATTTTACAAGTGAACAAACATTTCTTTATTTTTCTCTAAAGATAAAGTTTCCATAACCATCAATCCCTATTTCATCTTTATAGGTCACATAGCATAAGATAGAAGCCTATTTTTCAGAAATTTTAGAAAAAAAATGTTGAGAGAATCCTCTTAAAATTGAGGGTTGTCATGGACAATGTGGACACAGATAGTGTATGGTTGTTGTCAAATTGTGTCTGCAAGTGTTGAGATAAGTCCTGCAATGAACATGACCTTCAAACATGATTGGTGTGAAATAACGACAAAAACATATGAATTGTTATTTCTTAGAAAACTAAAAATCCATATTCATGACGACAACTAAATCACATGAAACTTTTTCACATAAATTTGTCAAAATCTTTAAATCCACTTCGATTCGTTAATAATTCATGTCACTTTTGTTTCTATTGTAACACAAGACTCCAATCCAAGGAATTAGAAGGCCTTTGGTGTTCCCCCAACCAATAATTGGGGGCATCACAATCACCAAGCTCTCCTAAAAATTGGTATAGGTACTAGAGAACACCAACCAGAATGGTTAGAGGAATTCTTACCTTCTCCACGAGTCCACTCCTATCTACTTAAGAGCTCTACTATGAATCTCTTCCATGAGTCCTCCTCTCATTAGATCATTTATAGTACTCATAGGGGTATTAACTTTTTTTTTCCCAATAATTGTTGTACCTCACAAGTTGTATTATGGTTATGTTGACCTCGTTTTTGGTAGGAGGACATAGCCAACAGATTTCGAGTCCTCCACACGTCCACATAGCTTCTCCTACACACTAGGACAAACTGTTAAAGCACTTGGCCAATCTCTGGTGGGGATGGAGGTGGTTGCATACACTCCGAAGGTCAAATCAGCCTTTGTAGGAATAATATTTAGGTGCGGGACATTCTTAAGACATGAATCACTAAGTAAAGTGGTTCGGATCCAATGATTATAGAGAGCAAATAGAGATTGCAAAAGTTGTATGTTGAGAGCATAAACTTCCATTAGCTTTGAATGGAACAATGACCCCATTTTCTATGATATGTAGCCGAAGCCATGAGCCCATTGGAAGTGGGATTGCCTTAGCCTCGTCGATTGTTCTTCAACAAAATATCTAATGACGAGTTGAGAAGATGGAAACTTGACTTCTTTGAAGAAATGAGGGACGATTCCTAGGTGAAGCTCACCTCATGTCAAAGGAAAATGATCTGTTACTACAACGCAAAAGTGAAAAAAAGGTTATATCGCAAAGGTGACCTTGTGTTGAGGAAGGTTTTTCTATCTTCTAAGTAATCGGGAGTAGGAACATTGGGCCCTAATTGGGAAGGTCCCTATTGAATCTCAGGGGAACTACGACCTAGCACATATAGAATTAAAGAACTAGATGGAAAGGCACAACCTCATCCACGTAACATTGAGCACTTGAGAGTATATTAACAATGAGCATGACCCATCTATTGTGCTGGATGTGTAACGCCCCAAAATTTCAAGCATCTTGAGGTGTTACCAAACAAAATTTTCATGTACTTAAATGCGGAACTGTAAAATTATATTTTTCTAAATAAATAGAACATTCATAACTTTAAATACGAATCATAATATCGTGTCTTTGAAACGATTTAAATATTCTTAACCAACAAATTTGCTAAAAAATTATTGGAACAAAACAAACTAATAATGAAATTTAAATGGAAAGAAGCAAAACTTAATATTATTCTCGTAGGTGGAAATCCATTGGCAGTCCGCTGCACCATCCCGCCACAGATCCAATCGACCCGAACTAGCCTGTAAAAGTTGTAAGAGTGAGTATTTTGAAAACACTCAGTAAGATACGTGCAGTTTCCATATGCAGTTACGTAACAATAACATAGACAATTCATACCATTCTTCACGTTTCTCATTTATGGAGTATATCGGTGGCCAATCGAGATACCCATCTCTTCACATTTCTTATTTCGTTAGGTCGACCCGAAGGTCCATTGGCAATACATGCATAAATTACTGAACATAAAAACATAAGGAAACAAACAACTTTACACAAAAGTATCTTACCTCGATCGATGAAACGAGCTTTTAATATAAAAATATACTTAGAATTTACAACTGTTCTCTATATGAAAACTGTTGTGTAAAATTCTGTGTGATGAATTGTGAGATATGGGCACACTATTTATAGGGGAAAAGTACAGTAGTTGAATCATAATATAACTCTGATAAAAATTATATTTATTCTAATAGATAAGAGTTTGTTATAATGGTTGGTTAGAACTAGAATTTTGATAGGTCAATATATATTAAAGATAAACATGGCTAATATAACATAATATTATCTTCCAAAAAATATATATATATATACACGTGCAATTGAAAAGAATAAGGAATGATTAATTCATTTGAAAATAAGTGATTATCTACTTAATTATTATAATATTTTGCTAATTATCCTAAAAGGACCATTATTAAGTAATAAAATAATACATATAAATCATACTTTTTTTTGAACTGAAATAACTTGGGCTTAACTTATCTGATTTCATATTTTCTCGAGCCCAATCTACATTATTTAATACGAGCTACAAAATGAGCCCAATGTTGATATACTTTTGGTCATTCTAAAAAAAGTTAAATATTTGACCCATTTAAAACATAAGAACTTAAAACTTTATTTTAGCCCCTCAACTTTCAAAATCATAAAATTGAATACAGAATTTTATTCTAAAATTTTCGGGGTGTTACAGGATGCTCATTCCCAACTTATGTAATCACTCTAAAATAAAGACAATTTAGAATCATCGAGTTTATTTTCTGCGAACCCCATCCATGGA